GAGGGATAGATTCTTGAAATCTGACAAATGGGACTAGGAATTCCTCAGCATCAGTCTCGCTCAGTACATTCTTTTAACCAACTCCAGTGTCTTCAAACTATTTTACATCCATTGGGTGATAAATAGCATTACTCTAAATAAAACTACACAAACAGTTGCTCACACATGATCAAAAGTACCATACCAGAAGATTTTGAGCCTTTGTTTTTAGAATGTTGTTTAAATATTGGAGGACAAAAAGGCTGGATGAATGTATAAACACAGGAGAGGGCGAAGCACATCTGTTGTCAAGGTGGCGGAGTCTCTTGGCAGTAAAAAACAATTTTGGCACCTAGCTTTGAATAAGGGCTAGTTTTTACAGTATCTAAGCGCAAAATTTAATAACAGTGCTTAACATTTAACCAAATAGTATTCAGGATAAAGCCGCAGAACTAAATATATTTATCCATTGATACCCATAATCGGAACTTCTCGTCTTCCCAACCACGCTGGCTTTCCACAATCATCAATCACCACTAAATCCCCTTCTCGGGAACCTCCGTCCCAGTCCCAGTCCCACTCTCAAACCCTTGTAACTTCCCATCCTCCACCATCTCCACAACTCAACCTTCTCTTTTACAGTCACGATCACCCATCATTACCAATTCCACCTCTCCAACTCTTACCTTTCCGACACCAATCCAGCCACGTCCTCCTGTATACGACAAACACCCAATCCCTCTCTTTGCCAACATAGTCGCCTACCCTGCAGAGCTGTTTTCAAATCTCTGTGCCAATATTCTCCAACCCTGACAACTTATTGACATTCCTTAATTACTTCAACTCCAATCAAACGCAAATTCGAAGAGGGCAGGAATAAATTAAAAAAAACAACACACATCAGTACCAAATAACAAATAAAGCAATTATGGAATGCCAAGTTGGAACGAGCCATTTGTAGTCAGCAAACATCATGAAAAACCATCAAAAAAAGAAAAATAAAATCGTGCAAGGACCTCATTTGGTCAACTATAAGCATGGAACAACACATAACAGTACCTGCTCTGAGAAAGATCTAGATATGCAACCTTTAATGTACATCTATCTCCTGAAAAAAGGGTAATATTTTGCTATAACAACCATCTCCCCGAATAGGTACAGAAATAGGAAGGTAAACTAATTGTTCAAATAAACCAGTATAAACGTTATCCCCAGTCAGCATATTACCACTCGGCCAAATTAAGTGTCACGTTTCATTCAGATAAATGAGTAGAATTAACAAAAATACATTTCATTAAGATAGATAAGTAGAATTAACAAAATTTATATAGTAAAAGCAACAAAATGCCAACAAAAACATACAAGATGATTTAATGAGAGTAAGAATTCATAGCCCAAATTTAAGATCCATAGCTAAAAGCATTTCATTAAACCACCAGGAAAAAAAAAACATAATCAATATCGGAGATCTCCTAGTACGAAAATTTAGCCAAAAACGAAGTAGCAAAAACATAGTTTCACCCCAATTCCTCTCCTCGACGTGCATTAATTAAACCCAACTGTAAAAATCGAGTGACAATACCAATAAAGCCGAAGATTAAATTAATTAATCTACGGTCTGCATGATGTCCTCGGCGGTAAACTTAGTCCCCTTATCCTTGTCAGCGGCTGCTCGGCCCTTGGCTTTGCGCTCAAGAAGAGACTTGCGGTCCTTGTCGAGGCGGAGTTTGCTGATAACTACCTTAGAAGGATGGATGCCGACATTGACTGTGGACCCGTTAACCTTCTCACGAGTGATCCGTTCTACATGGATAACCCACTTCTTTCTGTAAACCTGAACCACCTTGCCCTCGCGACCCTTGTATGTACCCCGGACAACCTGTACTTCGTCATCCTTGCGGACAGGCATAGAACGAACATTGTACTTTGTCCGGAGGTCTGAGGATAGGGGAGCGCTCATCAAGACACGACGGACACTCGACGGTGCCGTGAAATGGGCCTTCCTGTTCTTGCGCCTGGAGGAGGAGACTCGTGTATTGTACTTCATTTTTGCTGTTGATTTGGGTTCTCACTATCTCTGTCGGCTTCACCAGTATAGAGGAGGAGGGTTAGGGTTTTGATAACTTATACCAGGCTGGGCCTATGGCACGGATATATTTGGTCTGGATTGTGGGAAATTCTGTATATGGTCTTTGGGCCTGCAGTAAAATTGCTATGCCCTTGTTTGACGGTCTTTGTAAAGATAAATTTTGGAAAAATGATGTTTTGAATAGTGAGTTTTTTTAGAACGAGTGATTAAAATTGTCACGCGTTTTATACAACGTGAATTTATATCGCAAGTGTACGATATCAAGTTTCGTAATATAATATGAAAGTTAGGATGTCGAACCCACATGAATTGTAATTTAATTTCTATCAAATACTATAATTGTATAACTTTTATTTTATCTAGACGAATAAATAATTGAATGATTTTTTAATACTAATCAAAGGTAAAATGCTACGACAAAATTAGAGAATATAAATTATCAAAATGAGAAAGCCTAGGGAATGATTTCACCAACTTTCAATTATGATTCAATGACATTAAATTATTCCAATTAATTTTTCCATATTTAAAAGCAACAATCCAATTGTATTTCTCTCCCCTCTCTCGAGCGCCGGCTAGAAATTAATTATAAAATTTAATCTCAATATCTCTATTTAGAATTAAAATTTAGAATTTATCAAAGTTCCGATTCTTTTGTGGAGTAAGTTTCATAAATTTTACACTTTCTCTCGAAACCTATAAAACTTACGTTGTGTCAATCTTATGATCACACCTAAATTCCCCTCTCTCGAGTGCCGGAATTGACTAGCATCTATTCATTCAATTATTGATCAGCTAATTGAAAGCATTATAATCATAACACAATTAAATATAAGTGGGAAATTCCAAAAGAAATAATTCATGTATTCATCAAACCATAATCTCAAGTTGGCAACATCAAACCCTAGCTAAATTATCTAGTTCATGAAATAGAACATAAAATCCATATAATTTATAATGGAAAACATAAAAGAAAAAGTAAGAAAGAACTCTTTTGGAGTGCTAATCGAAGCTCCTTTTATAATTTTCATCATTTTTTCACTTGATTTCTTCAATTTCTTCTTATTGTTGTCGTTAGAGATTCAATCTTTTTGTATCCTTCTCTCCTTCTTCCAACCTGCAAAACTAGGTCTTTATGGTGGTATTTATAGTGTCCACAAATTGCAAGACGGAATAGGGTTGGACTAAGCCGAAAATCTTTTAAAATTTTCAATTTTCCTCTTTCTCGAGTTGCGGAGCCAAGGCTCCCAAGGCGCCAGCCATTCTGCTGAAAATCAGAATAGTGGGCGCCTAGGCGCCTGATTCGGGTAAAATGGCAGACTGCGCTTCCTTCGATATTTCTATCATAACACTTTATTCCGATATCCAATTGAAGTGATTCAAGATGTGTCGGAAACCCAACTCAAAGGGATACAGCTTTACTTCAGAAATCATTCTCCAATTCGATCATTTTCTATGCCAAAAATGGGTCTCAATATGAGACTAAAACTTCGGAGCATAACTTTTCAGTTGGAAATTGATTTGATATCATATTTTGACTAAATTTGATCCATTTGACATCTTTTCTCATCCAATTGACCATTAACACTCTCAAATCTTCATTCATGAAGTTCGGCACAAATTTTGAGTATTTACACTTTAGTCCTCGAACTTTGGATATCTTGCAATTTAGTAATTTTCTCCAATTTTGCCTACTTTTGCTTATTTTCTTCAATCTCACCAACATACATCACAACATCAAAACACACATAAAAACACTCTAAAACTTTCTCAAAGGTAGCAAAATAATGCATTAAGTGACATAAATATCATGAATGTGGAACACTCATAAAAAATGTAGAAAAAAATTTAAATTTACTTGCAAAATATTTATTGCTTGAATGTGGTTGAAAATGAGTATGACAAATAAAGAGTTTTGAAATAATGGTGGTCAAATATGGGCTAAATTGCTGCAGCAAAATTGATGATCACTAAGCCATGTTTGAGTCTACTCTTTAAAATTTATTTTTTTTCAAAACTCATTTTTGATCAAACATTTTTTCAATAAAATAATTTTACACCTAAATTTAAAAAAAATTATAATTTTATCCACATGCTCTTCAAAAATTATTTTTTGAGAAAATCTATTCTATAAAATTAAGGGTCAAATATGGCTAAAACTCAAGTTGAAGGTTATGTCAATTTACACAAATAGGGAACAACAGGAGGCTGAATTGAATAATATTGTTTTTTTGTTAAATCTTTCAAAATTACAACATAAATCATCACTTAAAGAGATGGTTTTGCTTAAATTTTTTGGCAAAACGATTTGGCAAATTACAGTGTGTAATGTTTTTGTTACAAAGATTGTAACTTGCACTCTATTTTTATTCTATTATAATGTATGTAGCTTGTTATAATAATGGTAACTTACACTGTGTTAAATCAGGGGCGGACCTACATGAGCCCTAGTGGGGGCCGCCGTCCCCACTCAATTTTCAGATTTCCCGATTTTTCTTCAGATTTTCAGATTTTTTTAGTTTTTTTTGTTCAAAATTTTTTAGGTTTTCAAATTTTTTCCAAGGATTTTTGGTTTCACCCTCTACTGAACTTCCTTCCTGACTCCGCCCCTGTGTTAAATCATGTTATGTTGTACGGAATTTTCCGAATTTGCTACTTACAATTTGTGTTAATCATGTTACTATGTATGTCATATTTTAAACTGTAACTTACACTATGTTATGGTACTATTACAAACGTGTTAATCTTTGTTACTACACATGTAATTTTTGTACTTGATGATGAAAATGGCGATGGTTATCCTTTTCAATGTCAAAAGGACCAGGCGTGCCATATGAATGTTATTAGATGTTGTACTCTTCTTGGTGTAGAGCCCATCAACCTGTATCAAGTACCCCAAAGGTTGGCTGGACGCCTCGACCACCATAGGAAAATGTGGTTGTTTGTCCTGTTGGTACATGGTTAATGGACATGCAACCTTATCCTTGATGCCTATAACTTCGTGGAAGGGAAAGTTATAATCGTGCCCCACATCCGATAACCCGCTAGTTCAAGTGGCCATGTTCTTACTGTCGGCTTTGGATATATCTGAATAGTGGAGAGTCAAAAAAATTTCACTAGGAGGTGATGACTCGCGTATCTAGAAAAACTATTATAATATAGAGGTAAGTCATATCTAATAATCAGTTGACTATCTTAGTTTTTAAATACATAGTTGTTTTTATATTTTATATTCAATCTTCTTCTTCTACTTATCCTTACGTCGAAATGGCTGTCGAGGAGAAGTCCCCATACACCTATTTGTAGGTTTTAGGCTGCTCAAGTGATTGTTGATAGAGGAGGAGCCATACACTACTACTAGTAATAAAGAATACCTGTTGCCCCCAGGGCATATCTCCCAGTGGCAAAGGGGAGGGCGGTTAGGGCTCAGCGCGGTAGTGTGCAGAGTTCGATTCCCCACAAGGTGGAATTGGCTTTGTTGCAAGCGGGAGTTACCATAGGGTTAAAAGCCCAAGGCCTATCCATAAACTCTCCACCCTATCTCCTGGGAGGCACATCCTGCGATTTACCTCCTCCACAATGGCCCAGGGCAGGGTTGGTGGGGGGCCCCCAAGGTTGGGGTTCAACCTTAATAAAGAATACCTGTTATAATGAAGAAGTAGATTTTGAATTTTCTTCTTCATACAAGATTTAATGTTCTTAATTGAAATTAAAGGAAAAAAATTATTTTGAAGTGTTAAAATATTTACCATTGGGTGAATTGCCTTGAATTCATGATCCGTTAAAAATACATTGACAGTGGCACGTACAGGGCCTCGTGCAGCATTTTTGAAAAATACAAGCATTGTTTCATCATGTGTTGTGCACGTGTTTCTATATTGTATAAAAAAGGGAAAATTTCCTGGGATTAAGTATCACCCATTTCCAAATTAAGAATCGAGGTTTTAAATTTCAAAAATCAGGTTTTTACTAAAATTTATTTATGATTTAATTAATTAATTAAATATATTAAAGTCACAAATTAACTATTTAATTAGTCACAAATTATTTTTCGATCACAAATCAAAATGCTTATGTCTAAAATCATTTTACTTTCACAATTCAAAAAAATTGTAGGTCACAGTTTATTCATCGGTCACAAATTAAAAATTTAGAAGTCATAATTTATTTATCGATCACAAATTAACATTTTTTAGATAACATATTATTTTTTGGTCACAATTTATCTTTTTTATTGGTCATATATTGTTTATTGGTCATATGTGAACCAATTTAATGATCACAATTAACCAAATAATCTGTGAACACCACCAATGCTTGCGACAATCGCTTCGCCACCACCTCCAGCAGCAGCACCACCACCACCGTCGCCACCCAATAGCAACATTACCATCTCAAACAAACTAACACCACAACATTCCAGCACCACTGTCACCACCTCCAACAAACTACCACTTTCAACTTCAAAACCACCATCGCCAACAACAAGATCCACAGCCGCCGCCGCCAACAAAACCATAGCCACCACCAAATTCAACATAATTGTCGCTACCCAAACACCACCACCACCACCACAGCCCCTTCCACCAACTGAAAACACAACCCAAAAATCCCACACCAGATCGAGGCAGTGCAAATCCGACCATGACGCGCAGCTAATCTCGATCATAGCACAAAAATAACAACCACCGTCCCACACCAGATCGTGGTGGTGAGGCGCCGTCATGGCGTGGCGGCACGCTACGCAGAGATTATAGGTCACAGTTTATTCATCGGTCACAAATTAAAAATTTAGAAGCCATAATTTATTTATCGATCACAAATTAACAATTTTTAGATCACATATTATTTTTGGTCACAATTTATCTTTTTTATTGGTCATATATTGTTTATTGGTCATATGTTAACCAATTTAATGGTCACAATTAATCAAATAATCTGTGAACACCACCAATGCT